ACGCATCTTGCTGAACTGTCTCCCGCATACTGTGCGCTGCTGCTTTCACAGGCCGGACCCCATTCGGCACGGGCCTCGGCCAGCAGCTCCGGTAGGTCAGGCGTGGCTTCATTGCCATTGACCTCCCTTGCAAGTGGGAGCTCAAGCAGGGAGCTCGCGTATCGCGCTGAGCTGCAACTGCGAGCAGCCCAGGCCGCTTGTGCAGCCGGACGGAGGTGGGCTGGCACGGCGTCTGCCCGCTGCCGGGCGAGCAGGCGCAAAAAGGTTACAGCCTCGCCGCCAAAGTGTCCACCTACTTCGATGCCGATGACAACAAGGCGGCAGCGGCGCGCACGTGTCAGCTCAGGGTACGTGTCGCGTCTTTTGCGCCGCGCGGCGTTGTTCGCGGCCCATCCCGGCTGTGTGTCAGCCCGGGGTTGCGGCTCTCCAGACCGCGTCGCCGGCGGGACTATGGTGGCATCAAGGGCGCGCTGTGACGCGTGCCACAAGGGCAGGCCATTGGCAACGATCTCAATGCGCCGTGCATCGGCGACAGGGACATCAATGTTCATGTCAGCCACACGGACGTTCCGCGAGACCCGTGCTCCGGCCTCGCGGCAGGCTCTTTCAACTGCCCGCTCCAGTGGCAGCGCTCGAGAGGCGAGCACGCCTGTTGTGACGCAGGCGGTGCGGTGGTCTCCGAGTGCGTCCAAGCGCCCGTGGCAAACGCAGAGGCGAGGCGCCGCCGCCAGCGGCAGCCGGAGGCGGCGGAGAAGGAGCACACGGAACTGCGCACTGGGAATGACAACGCCGTCATGAGTGGGCGCAACCGTGAACGCCCGAGGGGAACTCCCCATCCTGGCTAGTCGCCTCCCAGCCCGGCCGCTGTAAGCGCCTGCCAACGGCCGCCTCTGCGTAGGGCTTGTCATTCCCTCCGACTGGATCCTCACAATGCAGGCGTAAAAAGGCGTGAAAAAAAATACAACATCTTGTTCCTTCCGCGACGTCCGGAAAGCTGTTGATGTCGCATGGCCTGACGGCGCGCTCTTGAAACTGCATCGAGCTGGAATTCCTGCTGGCCTGTGGCGTCTGGTCAACGATGTCCTGCTATTGCGGCCCACGGACAACCTAGATGGCAAGACGTGAACGCAATTCGCTTGGCCCAAGCTCCCGGCACAGCATCCTTCGTGGGTTGTTGCACGCCAAGTGCAATACCGGCGCAGTTTTCGATATACGGTACCACATTGACATGAAGAGCAACATTTACAGTGGCAGCCACAGCCGCAGGTGCACCCTGTCGCCAAACATGCCTATCTCATGCCCGCTACCTAGCAAGTTTTGGGCATCATCTTTTCTTGGACGGACGACCTGCCCGTCACCGCAATGCAAGTTCCCTGCCGCCTTGCCCGCTTTTCTAACGGTTGTGATTTACTTGAACATGCATTGTTGCACTGCACAGCACATCACAAACGCACATCAACGTTGGTTGCAACAAAGCGGTGGCACATGCCCGCAGTCGATGCAACAGTTGTTCGGCACAAACTCGTGTGTAAACACTGCTCGTGGCATTGCCCAGCATCCCGTATGTTGCGCGTATTTTCCAAGCCGGCATGAAATAGGTGTACATACTTTTTACTTCCATCAAACGTGTTATCCTTTTACTTTGCTTGTGTGTTTTGTATGCTTTGTCATTCTTGGATGTCATGTTGAATGTTTCACTTTTCTGACCATAGTCTTTGGGGAGGCGTTATCACCAAGAACGTTTGGTTATGCCATGGTTTACTCCCAGGATGCACGCATCACTTGCATCATGTTATGAATCCCTGAACCAAACGCATCCAAACGCATTGCAAGCGCTTGGCACTTCCCACACAAATTGGCTGCAGCCGTTTGGCCTTTCAAAACCTCATCTTCGACTGCAGCAGTGTCCTTGCGAAAATGACGCCATTGTTCCCCCTGCTACTTGTAGGTCCCCTGGTCAGGGGATTCAAGAACCACGCTGAGCCCGGAAGCAGCATCCCACAGCACCTTCATTCCCACGTGCAGGCAGCGAAGGGTATATGTGTTGCGGGTTAATAGGCTGAAGCTCGGGGCTCTCCATCATGATTGCTGCGAGGTGGATTCCCAGTGTTACGCTTGTAGCCATGACGAAGAGATGACACGTGTTTCGCGCTGATCTGATCGGCTGAACATAGTTGCGCGGGCTTGTTACTACTCAGATCCCTCTACTGGTTCAGGGCTGCATAAGAGACCTTAACTTGACAAAATTCCCACACCGTTTTGATATGACGTTCGCAACATGCAACAATTCGCTTGCAGGAGCTTGCTTTGGCTTTCCCGCTTGTGCTCCAGAACCTGACCTATGCTTCTGGGATCATTCGCGATGGGGACAAGATGGTGGACAGGCGCCACCTCAAACCTCTGAACTCAATCTGATTGCGTGAGCTGATATTTGTTCTTTCCATCCACAAAACCGCACGTGCGGGTGCAAGAGTGGATGTTCAGTTGTCGTGTTGGTTGCAGGAAAAGCATGATGCAGGCTCTTGTTCAAATTGTTGCTCCAACATTTGTCGATTTAGCTGTAGCGGGCGAGCCTGGAGGAGCAAAGTCACCTATCACCCCGGAAAGTTCGCAAGTGACGAAGAGTTCGTGGTGGACAAAGCTGCGGGCTTCTTTGCCGTGCTTCATGATTTCATTTCGCTGGACCCAGATGGACAGGCTGCTGCAACGGCGTGCCCGCACGGACTCATTCCAAACATCATGCCGTGCATCAAGGCCGCCTCTTGCGTGATTCAGTCTGCCGTTCCCGATGTCGTGGACATGGAGATCTATGCAGGCATGCTTGAACAGATGACCAGGTTTGAACAGATCCTGTGGCCCCTCTTGAGGGATGGGCTTATGCATGAGACAGGTGGAGAGACACTTACTGACGACCTCGTCTTCCCAGAGGCATACACCTGCGATGACAGCGTGCACACACCTGACCCAAGCGTACCCACAGTACCCGCAGCATTGACGCAGCTGACGGCTTCGACCGAGCATGCCGCAACCTTGGCCATGGCAGCGGCTATGCATGAGGCAGCTGTCGCAAGTCATCGGGTGATGGACTCCCACGTGGCAAACAGTTTCCCTTACAGAGAATGGTTCATTCACGTCAAGTGCGCTGTTTTTGGGGGGGTGGGGCCTTAATGAAGGCTTCCTAGCAATGGGGGTTCCTTTTTCGGAGCATCCGCCGAGAGGGGTTGTTTTATATTTAGGTTCTGGGGACATGGGGGACTTTGATTCTTGCAACGTGGAAGAAGTGCAGCTGCGCCCGGATATGCTCACTTTGCCCGAGGTTCGATGGATGCCACAATTAACAAGCTTCAGCAAACTTGGCATGATGTTTGCCAAAAGACTGGTTGCGATCACACGAACTATTGGGACATCTTCTTCCGGCACCTGTACTCAAATCAAAGGATTGCAAGTTTGGCGTCTGAGGCTTAGGTTTAAAGGGCTAGTATGTGTGTGCATCCCCTGACTTGGGTTCAGTTTTTCCCGAATGCTCCGCAGAAGGGTTCCCGTTCTAAGGTTGGGGTCCAGGGGTCCAGGAGGCGACGCGAGGTCGTTGCGTTTGTGGACGCAAGCGTCCGCAATGGTTCGCAAGCGTCCGCGGAGCGTCGGACATGCGTCGGACATGCCGGAGACGAAAATCGTCGCGAAACGCAGAACAGTCGTCCCTTTTTGCGTTTCGTATTACAAAATTGTCACAGGGATCGGGGGGGTCGTGGTCGCGAAACGGAGACCTGTCGTCACTTTTGGACTCGTCTCCGGTCTTCGCGTCTCAAAAGTGTCAACATTCACAGGGATCGGGGGGGTCGTGGTCGCGAAACGGAGACCTGTCGTCACTTTTGGACTCGTCTCCCGTCTTCGCGTCTCAAAAGTGTCAACAGTCACAGGGATCGGGGGGGTCGTGGTCGCTAAACGGAGACCTGTCGTCGCTTTTGGCCTTGCCTCTGCAGAAAGGAGAGGAAAGAGGAGAGAGGAGAAAAGAGAGATGAAAGAGAAGAGAAGAGAGAGGAGAGAGGAGAGAGGAGAGGAGAGTGAAGAGAGGAGAGAGGAGAG